ATTGTTTTTCTCAAACTTCATCCTTATTACCTCAAGAATTTTTTTGTACTGAAGCCCTTTGGTGTTCCTACCTATAAAAATAAAATGCATATTCTAATTTTTTTTGTTAGAGCCATTGTCCACCAGAGCTGGATCATCCCCCACTTTTCACTAATAATTGAGTCTTGTCTTATTTCTATAATTTTTAATGAATTTTCTTAATCTAGCTCACTGCTTGTGTTGGTTAACTGTTCACCCACTGTGCTGGCTGCAGCAGATGACAAGTGTTCTATAATTTTCATTGTAGATCACTTTTATATCCTTAGTTAGATTAATTCCCAGGTATTCACTTTTTTGAGGTTATTGTGAATGGGATGATTTCTCTGATTTCTTCCTCTGCTGAGTCACTGTTGGAGTATATTAAAGCCATTGATTTATGGACATTAACTTTATACACTTTGCTAAACTCATTTATAAGCTCTAGAAGTCTTCTGTTGGAGTTTTTGAGTCTTCTAAATATAGCATCATATTGTTCTCAAACAGAGATAGTTTGACTTCTTCTTTCCCTATTTGTATCCCTTTGATTCCCTTTTCTTGCTTAATCACTCTGGCTGGTGTTTCAAGGACTACATTGGATTGGAGTGCAAGAGTGAACAGCCTTGTCTCTTTCCTGATTTTAGAGGAAATGCCTCTAAAATAGTCTTTCTCCATTTAGTATGATGTTGGCTTCAAGTTTTTCAGAAATGATCTTAACAATGTTAAGGTAAATTCCTTCAATCCCTACCTTCTCCAGAATTTTTAACATGGGAATTAGATTTTATAAAAGTCCTTTTCTGCATCTGTTGAGATAATTGTGTGATTTTTTTTCCTTAATTCTGTTTAAGTGATGAAGTATACTTACTGATGTGTGTATGTTGAACCAACTTTACATCCCTTTAATGAAACTCACTTTATCATGGTGTATAATCTTTTGATATGTTTTTGAATACAATTTAATAATATTTTATTAAATATTTTTGCATTCATGTTCATAAGAGATATTGGTCTGTAGTTTTCTGTCCTTGATGTGCCTTTGTCTGGTTTTGGTATCAGGGTTACACTGGCTTCATAGAATATATTTGTGAGTGTTGTCTCTCTTTCAATTTCATGAGTAATTTGAGAAAGATTGGTATTAGTTCTTCTGTAAAGGTCTGGTAGAACTCAGCTGAGAAAGCATCAGGTCCTGGGCTTTTTGGGGGAAGGATTTTAATTGCTATTTTAATTTCATTACTTGATATTGGTCTGGTTAGGTGTTCTTTATCTACCTGATTCAATTTAGGCAGGTCATATGTATCTACAAACTTGTGAATGTCTTCCAGATTTTTCAGTTTATTGAAGTTAAATTTTCAAAATAGGTTCTGATAATCCTTTGGATTTCAAAAGAGTCTGTGTAAGATCTCCTCTTTCTTTGTGATCTTGTTGATTTGTTTCTCACACTTTCTTCTGGTTAGTTTGGCTAAAGTTTTGTCAATCTTATTCATTTTTTTCAAAGAATCAACTCTTTGTTGCTCTGATCCTATATATTGTTTTCCTATTCTCAATTTAATTGATTTCAGCTCTGATCTTATTTACTCCTTAGCTTCTACTGGTTTTGGCATTAGGTTGCTCTTTTTTAAGGTCTTGAGGTATAACACAAGTTTATTTATTTGAAATTTCTCTATTTTTTATGTAGGTACTTAGTGCTATAAATTTTCCTCTTAGAACCATTTCATACTCTCCCTCAGGTTTTGATGTTGTATCTGTTCTCATTCCTTCCTAAGAATTTCTTGATTTTTATTCTCATTTATTCTTTGATCCATTCTTCCTTTGAGAGAGTATTTTTCAATCTGCATGTGTTTATGTGGTGGTTTCTGTTATTTTTCTTGCTGTTGATTTCTAACTTCATCTCATTATGATCTTCAAACAATTATTTTAGTGCTCCATTAAATTACCTTTTCTGTTTTCATAGATATACTTCTTTTTTATTTATTTTTAGTGGTTGCTTTCTGACTAAAATCAGTAATTTTAATTTATCAGATAGATAAATATCTATCCATTTATGTTTTATGCCTCATGTTTGACTCCTCATACTTCCTACTTTATCCCTTCCTCTTAACTTCATATTCTACAGCATACTTTATCATGTAAAACTTTTTCAAACACATAGTTTGTCTTATCTGCAACCTCTTTTCTTTTTGTGCTTATTTTAATCTTTTCTCTCTCTCACATGCTTTGATCTCTAAATTAAGTTTTAGTATTTGTTATTGTTTTTGAGATAGTTTATAAAAAGAAATAAAAGGTAATATTTTATATCAATCTGCTTTGTATAATTCTCAGCATTATTTTTCCCTTTAAGCTTCTTTTCTTTAATATGTCTTTCAACCTGTATGGCATTCTTTAGTGTTTATTTTATTGAAGTTTTACTATGAATTCTCTTATTTCATTTCTCTTCAGGTGCTTTGAAAAATTTTCTCTTATCTTGGCTTAAAGTAGTTTAACCACAAGTTGCTTAGTTGTCACTCTTTTAACAATTATGTTATTTGTGGGTTTTTAAAAATTTCTTAGAAATCCATAAAGTGGTTTACATAAAATTTTAACATTAAGTTTTTGGACATTATTTCTTTCAAAATGTTTTCTCTTATTATGTGGTTCTACCTAATCACATGCATAATAAAGTGTTATATTATCTTAAATGTCCTTGGGAATTTATTCATTTTTGAAGTTCTTTTATCTCCCTGCTCATCATATTGGGTAATTTCTATTGCTTTATATGCATATTCACTAATTATTACTTTGCTATAGTCAATTTGCTGATGAGCTCATCTGATATCTTTTTCATTTTTATATTTATTATAATTTTATTTTCTACAATTTTTTACTTTTTCCTGTTATGTAGTTTCAGTGTTTGTGTTGATATTTCCTATTTATTCACTTCCTCAAACCATTTGTTTTCATTAGTTAAGTATTTTTATAAGAGCTTCTTTAAAGTCTCCATCTGCTAAGGTCAACAATGGTGTCATCTCAGGTTCAGGTTCTGTTGATGGTTTTCTTTTTCTTCACTATAGATGCCTGCATCTTTGTATGTCATATTTTTTCTTATTTTGAAAATTGAATCCTGCCAGTTATAATCTGTTGCATATTATGAATTTTGTAATATTCCTCAGATGGCCTAGATTCTTTTTTTAGCAGAAGTTTCAAATTTTGACATGTGGTTGTGTAGGTTTGATTTTATTCTGTTGTTGATATTGATTTGTAGAAAGCCCAGGTGTTTTGTGAGCTTGGAAGGACCCAGCACACAAACCCTGTCTCTGATATGCATCTTGTAGGGATGAGCTTTAGGCTTTGTTGGGGTGCATCTAGAGGAGTTGTTACTCTAAGTCATGGTCCTTCCTCTGTACATCTTTTGAATGTCACAATAGGATTCTAGGCAAGACAGAAACACAGCCTCAACAGGGCTTTTCTGTAGCTCTGCTCAACCTCTAGTGAAGTTGCCCTCTTGTATGCCTTGAGTGGTTTAACTTTGCACTTACAGCTCATCTTTCAGCTTTACGCTTGAGGAGCCCCTCACATGGGTCTCTGAGGCCATTCCTCTTCAATGAACCACCACATACAATCCAGTAGCTTCAGCTTCCCTGATCTACAATCTCTATAATATTCATCCGCCCATTGTATATTTTCTGAAATCAGAAGCTTCCTATCTTTGACTAATATTAACATTCTGTACAATGAGAGTTTATGTCTGGTAGTACTATTTGTTCCATTGTGGCTGAAAGGAGAACCAATTGATTCTTGGTTAAAATGCCAATGATTCAGAACACTGATTTTGAATTCAAACAGAAATGGGTGGTAGTTTCTTCATGTCCTTGGGTGTTTTTGTTTATTTTTTAGTTTTTCAAAGCCTGTTCCCTTATTTATAGATTAGGAATAAGGCCTCCATAATAGGGTTATTATAAGAAACAACAGTGTGTAGTACGTGCTCTGTAAATATTAGCTGCTGCTACTGCTACTACTACTACTACTACTATTACTACTACTACTTCATGTTCCTTAGTAAAATTATCTGCAAAAGTTTTGATTTTACCTTATTCTACATTAGAACGAAGGTTTGTGGGGTTCAGATATCTATTAATCTGACCCATGTTTATGACCTTAATTAGTTTAGAAAATATATGTCTGTTTTAGAAAGCATTTCTGAAAGAGCGTAAAGAATTATCTAGGGGAACATAGAGTGCTCAATAATATGAAAAGAAATGAATTTCCACCTGGTGAATTTCAAAATGAAGCACTAGCTAAAAGCTACACAATATTATTGAAAATGGAAGAGATGGAAGCTTTCAAGCCTTTTTAGTGGTTGTTAGTTTTTAATTATCTGTGCAAGAGGAGAGATTTGGTAAAAGAATGGTCAGATAGTGACAATGTAATTTATTAGCAATTTTAGAGTGTGTTGTTCATCTTTGGAGAAGATTTACCATCTTAATAATGTTTGGTTTGTATTAACATTGAGTGCTGCCCCCCACCAGAACAACTGTTAATTATTAGTGTGGGGAATATGCATTGCCAAGAAATATATGAGTGCTAGGAAAAGTCAATCAGAGATTTATAATTTAAATTATTCACATGTGGATAATTGTGAGAATAGACTACGTTGAGAAAATTCTACCTTATTAAACATGTGACTCCTTAATTATTTGAGTCCCTGGGTAATGGCAAATAAAATAACTGGAGCAGAATTATCTTATTTGTAACTATCAAAAGTAAGAAATGGCATTGATCAAAGGTCCACTGTGGGATACAGAATAGAAATGTTAACTCACACAAGCATTCCCAGATATATACAAAAATCACTGTTCTCCAGACAAGGAACCTGAGAACCAGAGTTTAAAACTCTTTCAGGGTCAGGCAGGTGGAAAGTTATGAGGTATAGTTATGAACTTAGGTCTATTTGACTACACAGTCCCTGTGTTTTCTATTCTATTTGTATTTTTGAGTCAAATTTCACTTACCATAGAAATGTTCTTCTTCTGGCCTTTTCCCAATAATGCTATCTCGGAGTTGACGTAGCTTTTCCTGAATGAGAACACAGGACATAGAATATAGAACCAGGACACAGAAGACAAGGGTTAAAATTTTTTCATGGATCAAGATGTAACATTGGCTACCATTATCAACACCATCACAACTCACTGGTATTAATGTGCTACTTAGGATGTCCCAATCACCATTTTTGGTACTTTTCATGTATTTTCTTACTTAATTCTCAGCCCTTTATGGATTGGATGTAAAATATCCTCATTCCATTTCACAGACATAAAGACTAAGGTACAGAGATGTTAAGTAACTGTCCCAAATCAGACAGTAATAAGTGGTAGAGTCAGGTTTGTAACCATATCCTAATGCCTTCAGGATTTGTTTTCCCACCTTAACACGTGTGGGGTCTACCACATTGGCTGTTTGGTATCCATTATGGTTTGGATATGAGGTATTCCCCTTAAGGTCCTATGTTAATACAGGGATTTTCAGAGGTGAAATGATGGGAGTGTGAGAATTGTAACTTAGTCCATCCAAATTTAAATGGATGGACTCTTGGTGCCTGTAGGCAAGTGGAGCATTTCTGGAGGAGGTGATTCACTGGTGGCATAGCCTGGAATGCTGCATTTCATGTGGCCTGTTCTTTCTCTCTGCTTACTGGCTGCAATAAGGGGAGCAGAGCTTCTCCACCAGACCCTTCCACCATGTGCTGCCTCATCTTGAGCCCAGAGCAATGGAGTCAGCCATCTATGGACTAGATATATCTGAATCTATGAGCCCCAAATCAACTTTCCTCCTCTAACTTGTACTTGTCAGATATTTTGGCTGTAGCATGTGAAGCTGACCAACACAGTGTCCCAAAGCAGAAGAGCTACACAGTGATGGTTTACAATTGCCTGAGCCCATCTTGTCTCTGTAGGATATTATTATTTCCTTGTGTTTTAGTTCTTGGAATTAGGTATTCAGGAGAAAATGATGTCTACCTAGATTCTCCTTCTTAGCACATTTGTGATCCTTTTTTGTTTTGTTGATATTCTATATTGAACATCTATTTTTTCACCAGAAAGAAAAAAAAACAACTAGCATTCATAAACCTATTTTTAGAAGACAACCTGAGATAGAACATTTTCCTTATGTGTTTCCCTAGAGTCGTAGAAACTATTTCCATTGCTTTACAGATCTTCGCCTCTGAGTGGAACCACACTCTTTAGGCCATGATGTGATGAGGAGTGAGAAGAGCAAAAGGCAAGGCATTCACTTTCTCCACTATCTCCTCTCCATTGCCAGGGATCTTACATGGGTCTTCATTATTCTGAAAACTCTTCTACCATTAATTCCATTTGTGTCATTTTCAATAAAAAATATAATTTCACAGTTACTGCTGATTAACTCATCCCCAGGAAAAAAAGACTACTTTTGCAACTGTAAGAGAATATTTAAAACTATGTGGAAAGGAATTTGTGTGTGTGAGAGTGTGTGTTGGGCAACAGGGAGAATATTCTTTTTAATTTTTTTTTGCTGTTTGGACCTTTGTTGAGGCTCCTCTATTGAGTACTAATTTCTCTAATAGTACTCAAACAGAGTCACTAAGTGTTGGGCTCTTATGAAAAGTAGTCTTAGTGTCTGGTGGCCTACATTTATAGATTAAACAAAAACCCTACATTTTTTTCATAGGTGCTTATTTATTATCTCATTATCCTTCTATGTCAAATTAGCCAGATCAGTTCCCATGTAGAGAGTATGGTTTACCTTAAATTCTCTCAAAAATAAGACTGGATATAAACATGCAGACAAAATACAAACAACAGGGAGTTTAATAAAACAACTAGTGAAATCATTTCCAAGAAATGAGATTACTCTAAACTGAAATCTTTATTAAAATGTTGAGGAAGATAAAGTATGCTTGATTTACTTCAGCAAAACCTGCAAAATGTAGCACTGCTAGGAAAATGTTTAGTAGGTTTGTATTAATGCAGATTTTGCCTTATTTCAGGACAAGGGGATATGATGATGATGAGATTGGAAAGGGTGGAGAAGCAATGTTGTAACTCTGATCATGAGCAAAAACAGTTCCAGAATGTTGTGATGGGTGTTGTTTAGCATTTGCTTGGCAAAATAACTCTCTTTACTTAGCATTGCAAAATCTGGACAAGGTCCAGCAATCATTTCACCACCAGAACCACCCTTAGAGATAGGTGGTTTCTGACAAGGTGCCATTTCAGATATATTTGGAAAGTCCCTTTGTCTACACTGTCTCTTGCCTCTATGCCATATTGTTTGAAATTTCATCATTGTGATTCATTTTTTTTATTGTTTAAAAAGTGTTCTCCTAAGCATTACCTTTAAAATAAAAATCATCTCCTGGTGAATGTAGCATATGAAATTATTATTATTTGTATTTTGGCCTAAATTCGCTTATTAAGCATGTTTAATCAAATAGCTACCTTAGAAGTGGCTTCTGAGGCAATAAGTTTTCCTGTGATGAAAAGAAAAAATATGATAATATTTTTTTAGTGCCAAGGACTGTGTGAGAGATAGAATGTGGTCCTGACACCCTTCACTGAGAGTTATAATGATATATTTGGTTTTCATTCTTATCTCAGAGACTTCTCCTCCAGTCCTCTCTTAGTATATAAATTATATCTGCAGAAGACATGGTTATCTCAGATTAATATTTTTGGAAGTTTTCTATAAATCCTGCCTGATATATACATGTTTTTACCCACTCCTTCAAAGATTAAGGAGAAAGAAAATAAAACATATTACATTTAGGGCAATTCCTTGATGTGACTTCTGTCATTTTCTTGCTTCTGTTAAGCCTGGTTTATATTACACTCTTTGGAATGAAGAGCACGTTTGTGTAAAGAGGCTTCACCTTAATTTCAACAATTAGATTCCAAAAAACATTCGCTGTAGTACAGATGGTTACTATAAGCTCATTTGCCATTCAGTTTGATACATTGGGTTCCAGGACTGAGTTTGAATAAATGAACTAGTAAATATGAAATTTGGATATTATTTTCAAATTTTTAATTGGTTGTTTGAAGCATAATTCAATGGCTAGTTAAAAACAAAAGAAGAGTTACCTGTATTTCTTGTGAAGACTAAACATTTACAAAGAGTTTAGGAGCTCCATAAGTGAGAGGATATTTCAGAAAAGATTGGGGTCAGTATTACCTGCTGAATTATTTCCAAGCCACTCTTTTCCATCTGCCAGTGCTTAAATTTCTCCAGAGCTTCATCCACAGATATTTTCCCTTTCTTGACTTTCTCCTGCAGGAGAATGAGCTCTTCCTGCCCAGAGGCCAGATAGCCACTCGCAGTAGAAAAGGCTGGACTCTCCATCCGAGCTTTGTCTACAAAATGAGGGGAGGGTGTTTTAAAGGGCAGTCAACATATGGAAAATTGGGACAAAATACACTTTTAAAGGACACTCTTAAAATAAGCCATTAGTGTTTCTCATTCTTAACTGTGTACAAGTAGTTACCAAATAAACCAGTACAAACCAGTGCATTTTTTCCTAAGGATGGTGGGGCTTAGTTGGCATCTAGTGTTACAGGTAAAATAATGCATTTCAGCACTGAAAAATATAAAGGCACAGGAGAGAGAGAAAAGCTGAAACAAAAGTTCTGTGTTATTTGTAGGACATGTCATTTTCTTGTTCTACCCAAATTGAACCATGAAGACCCAGAAAACCTAAACAGATAAAAAATGAGCAATGATGTTGAATCAATAATAAAAATTCTCTCAACAAAGCAAAGACCTGAATTAGATTGGCTCCCTGCTGAAGTCTACCAAACTTTTAAGGAAGAATTAATATCAATTATTCTTAAATCATTCCAAAAATTTTGAAATATAATGAATTTTTCCAAACTCATTCTTCAAGGTCATCATTATCCTTATTCTGAAACCAACAAGGACACAACAACAACAACAACAACAAACCTATATACCAATATCCCTGATCAACATAGATATAAAAATTCTTAACAAAATGCTAGCATTTCAGACCTGATTCTTAAGGTTTTAATATTACGTGCCCCCCCCCCAAAAAAAAAGCTTATGTGTGAGACAATGCAAGAAACTTTAGAAGTGAAATGATGGAGTTATGATACCTTAACCTTATCAGTGCATTAATCCACTGATAGGGATTAACTATAGGCAGGTAAGGTGTGGCTGGAAAAGGTGGGTCATTAGAGGCATGCCTTTGGGATTTACATTCTGTCTCCAGCAAGAATACTTTCTCTCTCTGCTTCCTATTGCCATGTCCCTATCTTTTCCTCTTCTACACTCTTCCACCATGATGTTCTGCCTCACCGCACACCCCAAGGAATGGAACTAGCTATCTATGTACTGAGACCTCTGGGAAACTATGAGCCCTCAAATAAACTTTTGTTCCTTTAAAATTGTTCTTGTTGGGTCTTTTAGTCACAACAGCAAAAAATCAGACTAAAACCCCAATAGTATATCAAAAGGATCATTCAGCATAATCAAATGGGATTTATCCCAGGGACAAATATGCCATCAACAAAATGCAGGACAAAATCATATAATTTAAACAGATATAAAAAGAGCATCTGGAAAAATTCAACACCCTTTTATGATAAAAACTGAATAGTTTAGGCATTGAAGGATTGTACCTAAACATAATAAATACTACATACAATCAACCTATAACCAACATCATACTGAACAGGGAAAAACTGAATGTATTTCCTCCAATATCTGAAATAAGACAGGAATGTTCAAGGCCACTGCTCTTATTCAACATTGTACCAGAAGTCTTTGACAGAGAAAGTAGGCAAGAAAAACAAATAAAAAGGTATACAGATAGGAAAGAAGGAACAAAGGAAGTCAAATTATCCTCATTTTCAGATGAGATGATTGTATGTATTGAAAAACCTAACAAGTGCACTGAAAACTATTGGAACTGATAAATTCAGCAAAACTGTATGATACTAATCAGCATACAAAAATCAGTAGCTTTTTCATACACAAATAATGAGATTACTAAGAAAGAAATCATGAAAGCAAAATCATAATAGTTATAAAAAGTAAAATACCTAGAAATCAATTTAACCAGGGAAGTTAAATACCTCTACAATGTAAATTACCAAATTCTAATAAAAAATTTAAAGAGGACACACAAAAAAGGGAAAGACTTCCCATGCTACTGGATCAGAGAATGAATATCGTAAAATGTTCAGTCGACCCAGAACAATCCACAGATTCAATGCAATCCCCATTAGAATATCAAAGGCATTCTTCATAAGACTAGAAAACACAGTACTAAAGTTCATATGAAGCACAAAGGATATCAAAGAACCAAGGCCATCTTGACCAAAAAGAACTAAGTTGGTCAGTACCACATTAGCTGACTTGGATGTATACTGAAAGTTATACAAATCAAAACACACAAAGACCAGTGTAACAGAGTAGAGTCAGAAGTAACCTTATATATTTAAAGTCAACTGATTCTTCACAAAGGTGCTAAAAGTGCACACAGGAGAAGGATGGCCTCTACAATGAATGATTCTGGGAAAACTGGATATTCACATGTAGAAGACTGAGACTTGCTCCCTCTCATCCTATAAAAAGGAAACTCAAAATGGATTAAATACCCGAATGAAAGACATGAGACTATGAAATTAGCAGAAGAAAACACAGAGGAAATGCTTTAAGATATTGGTATAGGTAGCAAGGTTTTTGGATAAAATAACAAAAGAAAAACTAACAAGTGGTATTATATCAAACTAAGAAATTTCTATACATCAACAGAACGAAGAAACAATCTACAGTTGGGAAAATTCTTTGCAAAGCATTCATCAAAGAACTAATATGCAGAAAATATAAATAATTTAAAAAACCCAAAAACAAAAACCAAATAATCCAATTAAAATGGCCACACAATATGAATGGGCACTTTCTCAAAAGAGGAAACACAATGGCAAACAAATGCATGAAAAAATGCCCAACTTCATTACCTTTCAGGAAAATAGCAAGTCAAAACCACAATGAGATAACAGCTCATCCCAGTTAGACTATTGTATAAAAGTTAAAAATAAAAATGCTGGCAAGGATGTGGAGCAGAGGGAACTCATATATACTGTTGTGAATGTCAATGATCACATCCATTATGGTGGTTCTTAAATAATTAAAATAGAACTACCATATCATATAGCTATCCCACTTCTGAGTATACATACAAAGGAAATTATATCAGCACACCAAAGCCTGTTTATGGCTGCTCTTTTCACAATAGCTAAGATATGGAATTAGCCTTGATGCACATTAATAATAGGTGAATGGAAAAGAAATGCTGTGTATACTCTCTCTCTCTCTCTCTCATACACACACACACACACGCACACCCTCACACACACACAGAGTATGGAATATTATTCGGGTATTGAAAATGAATTATCTATCAGTTGCAGCAAAATGACTCGAACTGGAGGTTATTATGTTAAGTGAAATAAGCCAGACACAGAAGGTCAATTTCCACATATTCTCTTTCTTATGTGAAATGTTTAAAAAAGTTGACTGGAATATATGATATGGATTATTAGAGGCTGAGAAGGGTGGTGGAAAGTGGGAGAGTGGGAGGTTGGATAATGGATACTAAAACGCAGACAGAAGTAAAAAACTCTAGTGTTCTATAGAACCATGGAGGAACTATAGTCCACAATGAAACTATTATGTATTTTATGAACAAGTAAATGAGAAGAGCCTGAAGGTCCCAAACAAAACAGTGATAAGGAGATGGAAACTTTAATAATAATCTGGATTTTATTAGTGCATATTATATCTAATATCGAAAGTCACCCTGTAACCCATAAATTTGTTCAGTAAAAAAATCATATTGAAAAATAAAAGAAAATATGTGCATACACTTAGTCTAGGCCTGCCACATAGTAAGCTAAATAAATATTAATATTATTAATACTATTTGCTGAATAAATAATTGACTTTGCAAAAAGGAACCTCAACCAAAATCTAACTGTCATGAGAAACTGAGGATCATCTGAAATTTTATTCCTGAAAGATTTAAAATAAATCATTGGTCATTTTATAGTGAAATCCTTCCTTTTCAAAAGAGTTTATTTTGGAGCCTGCTGTGTTTTACCTGCTCAGTATGGTAAGAATATCAGATGGCCCAGTGTCACATGTGTGGCTGGAACACCAGAGCCTGGTCTGAGGTTCCAGGGTCACAGATTGGCAGACAGTGGACAAAGTCCAGCATTTGTTTCATCAGTCCACAGTGGTATTTAAAGACAGAAGACGGTCTATGTTGCTTTTAGGGATGTTACGTGTTCTTTGTCTGGGCTATCTCAATTGTCACTGGAAAAACGCACTGTGCTACCTGCCCAGCTGCAGAACTCACTTGAGTTTGTACCTTTTCATTTACAAATCCATGAAGTCCAACTGCTTGCTGTGGTATCCCAGGGGAGGCAGGGCAATGAAGCAGCAGCACATTTGTTAATACTGTCAGATCTAAATATGCCCATGAAGCCAAGAAGGAGAGAATAACTAGTCCTGCCATGTGCCTAGGAAGCTGTCCCTGGAGAAATATGCTTGTTATGGGGAACTCTTCTTCAAGAAAGAAATAAACTGTGCGGCATCTAGACCATATTGACATGGAGTTGGGAGACAGGAAGAACATTCAAATTCTATAAAAATACAGATTTGTTAATAAAATTAGGATTGGTTTTTTCCTTAAGAAAATGTTTCAAGTATTTGACAGCATGTTTTAAGCATTTGTATGGGACTCAAGCATCAGGGGTTTCCTGAAATTACCTTTAATGTCCCTCTCAGTTTTGAGCAGGATGGTAACAACAATTTTTGAAACAGGGTCACGGAGACAATTTCTTTTGGAAAGATTTACGTGCATGTAAAACTGCTCTATGACCAGTCATTATGAATCCCATGGGAGATTTCCTGACTTGTCTTTTCTCTTCAGAAGTCTATTCCCCCAGAACTAACAAGATGGCAACAGATTCTATACTCTAGATCTTCCTTCAGGGATGAGGGAGCCTGAAAATCTCAGGGGAAGTAGAGAAGCACAAGTCGGCCAAAGGGCTAACTAGTTCAGCGGCAAAAAGCACAGATAACAATTGAGATCCTGCTTTCTTACACCATTTGCTTTTTATAGTCTTCTACACTCACATGCAATTCGTGAAATGCAGTTTACAGTAGCATTCTCTGTGCCATCACTGCCAGAATGTGTAGGTTTCGCATCGTCATTTAACAGCTATGCCATTTAACTATCACTTCACTTCCATCATCCACTGCTTAAGCATGAAGCCATTTTTATCTCAAGTAACCTATGCTAGAATTTTCTACTTTTGCACAAGTT